TTTTTTTTTTTTTTTTTTTGGGGAGGGGGACGACAGTTCTGGGGTTTGAACTCAGGGCCTCATGTTTGTTAGGCTTGCTAGGCAGGTGCTCTTATCACTTGGACTACTCTACCAGGTCATACTTTCTCAACTGTGATAATTTCTGATCAAGAATAGCTTTTCTCTTTGAAGACAAGATTAGAGTTAGCTGCAGTGACAGGAGATGGATAGAAACAAACTGAACTCTGTTAAAGGACAAGCAAATGTTTGGCTTAGCCTCATATTTTCAGAATAGGCTTCTGGAATTCATTTGTCGGTTTGTGGGAAGTTGATTGACTATTTACATAAATAGCAAAAAAAAAAAAAATGCAGATGAACAAACCTGTAATTCAGATCTGTAAACCTGAAAACCCTCAGGTCTGCCTTTCTGTGTGTGCATCACACGAAATGCTATTCTCATCACTGGCTCCATGGAGAGCAGTGAAGCATGCTCTCTAATTCTTAGCTTTTCCCCCTCACCCCTCAGCCCAATACATGTTTCATAGGACAGGCACTTACCTGCGCGATTAGTTTTGGCACCTGTGGAAGCTGGGGAAGAACTGTTACTGGTATCCCCAGCAAGGGAAGTTCGGCTAGAATGAAAAGTTGGTGTTGGTCGTTTCAGCTTGCTGCCTGTTGATGGAATAACCTTCAAAACAATAAAGGATCATATTAACTTCATGAAATCTTTAAAAGAAATTTAAATTTAAATGTTTACTTAAAAACCGCTTCATATGTGATCATTTGAGAAGCAAATTAAAAGTCCGGGAAAGCAAAGATTTATTTTGAAAGTGTCCTATGTCATGGATTTTCAGTATTTTCAAAACAAAGGTTTTAAGTTCCAATTTAAAATAGCTTCTAGTATCTTTTATTTGCTGACAAATTTTAGAAGAAATGGAAAAGATCTTCAAATAGTAAGATCACCATAGTTGTAACAAACAGAAATATGGTGAGTAAATAAAAAGCCAAATAATCGTATCAATCAACTTTTGGGGCTAGACATCTGAAACACAGAGATTCAACTATTACTCCAATCTCCATTGCTAAGCAGTGGATTGCTAACTTTAGTCAACATCTTAGCCTTTATCCTCATGGGTAAAGTGCTGGTAAGATTACTTGCCTTGTGGATCAAATAAATGAGAAGGGGCAAGAGGTCTATGATATCAGGAACAAGGCTCTGAATGAGGTGTCAGGAGACCTGGCTTTGTGTCTGGGCTCCATGACTGATTCAAATGAAGCAGCCTAGGTCTCAGTTTCTCCCTTGGGACATGAGGGATTAAATCCTGCTTCTACCACTTTATTTTTACCATACTCTCTCGTCAGTCCATTTAGCGACAAGAGGCTCCCTGCTGTTTGTCCAGTAGTCCAGGGAGGTTCCCAGTCTTGTCCCCTTGCTGTTCATTCTGGACTGTTGCTGCCCACCCGGCCAGTTTCCTGCAGGGGCTATGCTGAGAGGATGACCTTATCAGAGAGTTTCCTTACCACTCAATACCACTTGCAAACTTTCTATCCTCTTGCCCTGCTTCATCTTTTTTTTTTGCATAGTACTTACCAATACCTGATGTATACTGGCATTCTACTGCTTGAACTACCCCCACCCTGTCCTTTTAGCTTTGTTTATTTTTCAAATAGGGTCTCATGGTCAGTATGGCCCATGATACTCCTTATTTATACCTCCCATTTGGTTGGGATGGTAGGCACGCACCACCATGTTTAGCCTATAGACTGAAATGAAGTCTTGCTATAACTTTTTGCCTGGGCTGGCCTTGATGAGTAGCTGTGATTATAGGCATGAGCCACAAGTACCCATACTTTGCTTCTTGCCTCTTTTCCCCACATTAAAGCATCAACTCCATAAAGCAGGGGCTTTGTTTTATTAACTGTCTCATCTTTAGCACCTAAAACTGTCTGGCACAGAAAAAGGACTCAATAAAACCTTGTTGAATGAAAAAATATGTAGAAGCATTTCCTGACCTGGAAAAGAGTTGTATATTATTATTACTGTTACTGGTGGAAACCACATTTCCTTTGAGTTTTTTTTTTTTTAAATAGTAGTAGACTTAATTTAGAGGAGAAAGGATATTTTAAAGTCTGTTTTAAATATCACCTATTCCAATTGTTCTTTGAAATCAGTTGTGGAAATTGTTTTCCAGGACCTTTAAAATGTTTATACAGAGTAAAGCAACCAATCTCAATTGTGTTTATTGTATTTCTTCAGTTTATAAAAGAAAAGCAAAAGCGACAGATAGTGATTAATACTCAAGCAAGAACTTTCTTGGCCACCTAGGAGGAGGAGCACCAGTTCCAGAAGCTATCCTTCCTGAGCACCACTGCTGGGAACCCATAGCTCCGCCACCCCTGAGCCAGAGTTCCAAGTCAGGAATAGCCTGGCTATAGGATACCAATGAGTAAAGAAAATGAAAGGTCAAAATGAAATGAAACATTTTAGAAATTCTGAGATATATTGAGAGCTGAGTTGGAGACATTATGAAGAAGAAAAGCAAGATAGCAGGTTGAGACTTAGGGGTTCAGTGGCAGTAGGTCCCCAGATCTACTAAGCTAGATAGATTTCTGAACTGGAGTTTTAGCTGGGAGCAGGATGAATCCCAAAGCAGTAGCTCATTCATAGCCATTGGCTTCTCTGCCTCTCCAGTTTCTCACTGAGGCTTTGCCTTGATGAAAGCAGCTCTGTCCTGTGAGACACAAGAATCCAATGCTTCCCTGTAAGAGCTAGGATGCAAACTGTACTGCTATCCCGCCCATGTTTGTTTCAGGTGTTTTTTTTTTTTTTGGAGACAAGATTTCACTATGTAGCCTTGGAATTTATAAGGTAAAATCTGAGCTCCAGAGCAGGGGTCACTGACATTGTGCTTGGCTGAAGTACACAGCACCTATGCCTTGGACCAGTGTAGCAGTACTAACCACAATGGGGAAGTATCTCAGGGTGGGTGGCACAACCATCCTCCTGTACTAAGCAAAGCAAAGATAAAACATTGGTGAACATGCACTGTAGTTGAATTTCAAGTGTTTGTAACTCGTCTGAGTATCTGACATTTGGAGACTCTTAAGAGGTCTGACTATAAACAGTATCAACAAACAAATCAACAGGAATGACCATTATTAACCATCCTGAACAAATATGCTAAAGACTGTTACAACCATGTTTTAGGCATCTCTTATTTATCTCCAATTTTGGTCAGTCTGAGTTAGAAACCCCTGAAAACACATGATCAGATGAATCAACTGTGCCAGCAAGCGCCACAGAGATGGAAGAGAAATGGGCTAGTGTCAGGAAGAAGAGCCGGGCAGGTTCTTGGCATGAGTGAGGGCTTCCTCATGACTGTGTTCCACTCAGCAAAGCCATACTCTACCTCGGGGCTGAGCAGATGGAGGTCAGGACATTGGCTGTCCCTGACAGGGGTGCCAGCTTTACTGTTTACCAACCAGGGTTTGTCATAACAGCGGGAGAACTGAAATGGAGTCTGTGAAACGGAAATCCAAAGGGACGGATGGGAACAATTGAAATGGAACAGAAAGGGAACAAATTGGGAACAGAACAAAATAAATAAAAGACACTAAATTTTACAAAAAACAAAATAAAATGTACATCAGTCTAAAGGGATGAGAGGGACCAGGCAGAAAGGCAACAGTACTCTTCATATATGACCGATCTTAACAGTAAGCTTATCTGTTAGCTCCAGCTATGCAGACAGTACCTGGATTTTTAGACCTAGTAACTTTGGATGGACTCAAACTCAAAACTGAGAATAAGAGGAAAGAAATACTTCTGATGTAACTAGCTGAATGTGTATTTTAGTAAATGTCCTTGCTGATCATCTTAAAGGCTCTGAATCTGTGTACTGCTGGGGCCTAGGCATTCTTGGTTTAGGTGGTGTTGGTCTGTTGTTTCTGTGTTCCTCCTTTGCCTGGAGTCTTTCAGAGGCTACCCTGAACAATGAACATCTGCCAAGATGGGAATAGGGAGAGGTCATGAAGGAGGTTAGCACCTACCTTGGTCCCACTGGCTGGGGTAGCTGGAGAAGATGGCATGGATGTACAGCTGTGGTTACTCTGACTAGCACTTGAACTGGAGCGGGTGGGAGAAGCTGCCCTCGAAGATGGTTTGGATCTTCGACCCCGTGATCGGAAAGGGGTCATTCCTTGGGATGCCCCCTCTGGTAGGATGAACTTCTCTCTCAGCTCAATGTTAGTTCTACCTCGTGCTACAAAGAGAATAAACAAACACATATACAATACAAATTTATCTTAAAAATATATCTTTGATGGTCATACAGCTGCTTGACCCCATGATAACAGTAACCTAAGTTATAGGTTTAGTACCATCTGTGGTTTATTTAAAAGCACAGATAAATTCATGACTTAACAGCTTCTGTCATGATTCTGACCCACATCAGATACACTGACTAAAAAGATCCTAGCTTGCTGTAATAAGTAAGTCTTTGTGTACAGAATGGCATCTCCTCTGCTGTCATGATCTGGCTTTGCCACTGTCCTCTGGGGTAAGCACACTGTAATTGTTGAAGGTGAAGCAGATGTAACAGTCCACAAGCCTCTGACATTAACCAAAACTCCTCTTTTCTCTCCCATAGGACATGTGTACTTTATGATCAACTTTTGCAAGTTATGTGATAATGAAATAGTGGAGAAAAACACACTAGTGAAATAGACACTGTCTACTGAATTCAGTCAATAACAATCCTAAAGAAAGGGGTAGAGGAACTCCAAACAGTAAAAAGATTAGGACAAAATTAATGAGAAGTAAACATGTAGGGAGAGAGAGAAAAAGATTAAGACCATGCACAAAACTTGCCAGTGAGAAACAGTTAAGTCAAAAACTGAAAGCAGTAAGAAGCTGAAAGGGAAACTGCAAGTAGGAAAGGAACATTGAGATGGAATAATCTGGAACCAGTACTGAATGCCAGATAAGTGCTTTCTCATGGCTTTCTGGAACTGAAAGATCAGAACTCACAATGTGGATTCAGTCAGAAAGTATCAAATACACCCAACACAATTGTTAAATGTGAAAGATACTATTAATTTAAAAGAAATAATTCTGCTGAAACATGCCCTTTGATTATTTCTCAAAGATATTATCCTGCAATAACCCTCTACCTGCTCATCTACTCTACTCTTCACTTTTACAATGTACTAGACAGATATAAACAAATAAGACTGTTGGGGAAGCCTGGAAAAGGGAAATTCTATGAAGAAAATATTTGTCATTCTTTTCCTCTCAACGTATTATAGGTTGACACAGCATACCAAACCATCAAGTTAAAAGCACTTAGATACCAAAACCTTTGAGTTGTTGGCCAGGCCCTGCCATCAGGCAATCCTTTGTTTTGGGCTGTGATTTTTTTCAGCCTCACCAAAGGTGATCAGGGCTGCTGGTCTTTAAGGATCCAACTCATCTGGATAGTCTATGACTTAATGTTTCCAGACATGCTCTAGATGTTTCTTTCCATGAAATAGTGTTTCCTCCTCCTTAGGTCCCAACATGTCCTCTACCTCTCAAGGTTCTTTCCTTGGCTGTTAGTTCTCTGCTCCTCCATTTTCCAGTCCTTTTCTGTGTTCACACTCATTAGTAGACATTCTTCTTCTTTTTTTTTTGTGGTACTGGGGCTTGAACTCAGAGCCTTCACCTTGAACCACTCCACCATGCCAATTTTTTATGACAGGATTTTTCAAGATATGATAGGGTTTTCTGAGACAGGGTCTTGCGGACTATCTCTCCGAGTTGGCTTTGAACTGACATCCTCCTGATCTCTGCCTCCTGAGTAGCTAGGATTACAGGCGTGAGACAGTGGCATCCGGCAATAGATATTCTTTCTCAAGGAGAATTTCCTTTGCACTCATGTACAACTAGCTGTAATCCTAGCTACTTGAGTAAGACTGTATATCACCAATAATTGTGGAATTATGACCTACACTTCTGTCTGCTGAAGTGCCCACTCAACAATGGACACGCAACTGGCAGTAAGGTAACATTGATGGATGAAAATCATCTATACATCTGAGGATCTGGACATCCTATAAAAACCATTTGTGGTCCTAAATCATAACAAACTTTTGGAAGTAAACATTTGATAATTCACTTCTGAGCAAACGCTGCTAGAAAAAAAATCACAGGGGAATACAAGAGAAGATTTTGAAATAGCAATTCAGTTGTGAACAGATATGTTTTAAATGCTTTAGAAACGACTATTGGCTGGGTGTGGTGGTATGCATCTATAGTCCCAGCTACTCTGGAGGCCTGTGCAGAAGGATCTCTTGAGCCCAGTAGTATGAGATTACTCTGGGCAACACAGCAAGATTCCATCTCAAAAAAAAAAAAAAAAAAAAAAAACCCCAAAAAA